ACCTTGAAGAGTAGTGGGGTTCCGGCAAGACGAGTGCCGGCCGGGGGCTTCTGCCTGGGCATGTTGCCTTTGGTTTGTAGCACTCCTGCATTGCCTGTTTTCGGGGACGGGGTTTAGGGCCTTATAGGGAGGAGGCTGTTTGCTGAAATAGCTTTGGCAAGGCTGATCATTCCCGCCCGGCGGCCGCTGCACAACAGGCTGCCATCCAGAACCGTCCCAAAACTCGAAGTTTTCAGCCCATATCTAGCACCTGTCGCGCATTGTCACACCTTAATTCCTTAATGTTGCCTTTCTTGATTTGAATGCCGTTGGGGACCCCTCCCCGGTCGCACCATGCAAGTGCCATTGTGCTCTCGCAGGTGTCGTCTGCCAGTTCTGTCAGTTCTGTGGCAAATGAGGCGCGCGAGAGTGAGGGAAGAAGGGTTTGTTACTGATTCGTTGCTGCCCAGCTGGTGCCTGGCAAGGCAAGTGTTCCCATCGAAGTCCTGAGCGCAGCATGGAGAATGATCTCGCGTTTCGGGCTGCAAGGCATGACCATACGTCNNAGCCGAGAGTAGCGACACGTTGCAGGCTCGGCCTGGCCAGGCCCCTGCTATCTCAGACGTTGACCTTGCTGAGCTTTCAAAGCTTGACACAGAAGAGGTGTTCTGTGCTCACATGACTCGTCATTTGCAAGCTTTCTGCTCTGATGGCTATGTCGTTATCAATTCCGAACGGTTGGCATGGACGACCGGTTGGAAGCCTGACTTTTTCATCGCTCATAAGAAGTGCTACGATGCACACAAGCCACCAAAGGGCGCCCGGCTTGGAAGAAATGCCGCAGACAAATTTGGGGTTCCTTACCGAGGCTTGCTTGATTCGCTGCGAGTCTGTGAGGCCAAGTTAGACATGAAACCCTCGGATTTGGCAGAGCTGTGGCAGTATCTGAATTCGTTACCTGACGGCGAGTCCCGCGGAATGCTCTTTGACAAGCGCAGTTTTATCCTCCTGACAGCGGCGGGGAAATGCCAGCAGAAATTTCCGACCCGTTTGCTGGAAGGCGAATGGAGAACCGAAGGTTCCTTCGACGCGGTACGGGCATTTCTCGCTGTGCAGTCCCACAGCGAGAGATCCCTGCATGCTGCCCTGCAGCATGCCAGCGTGCAGTTGCTCGGTTTTTTGGGCTCTGGTTCCTTTGGACGTGTCTTTCATGTCTACAATGAGACTCGTGGCAGCTGTGCCATGAAGCTCGTCAATGATGAGAAGCTAGCGCGGGCTGAGGTCGCGAGTTTACAGCAGGCGGTCCAGCAGGGATGCCCTGTTGCACAGCCTATCTCTGAATTAGAAGCAGTGGCACTAGGCAACAGGCACTGCTTTTACTACTTGTCGACTCCTGTTGGCCAGAAGTTGAGCCAGACAGATGCTGCAACAAGATTGGAGGATGTCTTGGATTGCCTGCATGATCTGCACAAAAGCGGGATTGCCCATGGAGATGCGCGATTGCCCAATCTCATCGTGAACGCTGACAGCGAGCTACTTTGGATCGACTGTTTGCACACAGGGTTAGCCACTTGCGTAACTGTCCAGTCTGACATTGAAACCCTCGTTCGCAGTCTGGGTGCAAGTGCACAGCTACTGGCGCAGATCAATGCCGACTCCCTGTCCAACCAAACTTTCCGAGAGGCTTTGCAGCGGGATCTGCACGCCTGGACATATTGAGTTTGAACTCGCATGGACTCGGCGCAAAAGAAGTCAGCAGAACGTCGTTGGTGTGGGAGCCGCTCTCTCTCTCACTTTCTCTCTTTCTCCTGTCTGTCTCGAGTTTTCTATTTGGTAGTATGAAGGCCAAAACCCCAATAGGATTCTTAAACCCTCAAGAATGCTAGAAACAACGTGGAGCTGAGAATTGGACGTGTAAAGCGTAGGGTATTTGGACGATGCTGGCGATGGCAGATTTAGGGATAAGAAAGGG